AACGGAAATAAGTCTGTAGCCAAACTGATTTTCAGATTAACCTGTAAAGACCTATGTATGTTTAAAGAAATTATTAGTATATAGTGTTTTGAATATTTTAGAACTTATTAATTCATATTTGATGCAATTAATGATGGTGTCAATAACTAATTTCTCTAATCCTGATTTATTTTGGGGTAGAAATAGCATCAGTAGTGTGTATTAATGATACATATACCTTGTGTAATGTATATTTTTTAAACATTTAAAGCCTGCAGAGTAACTGAGAATTGGCTGACAAAGCATTGTAAAGAAGGATCTTTGGGAGCTACTTTCATGAAAATGAGGGACATATACCTAGCATATCATATGTACTTAGAACATACCTCCTAGTGTGCTTGAAAACTTCTTATTTCTTAAGACTATTTAATAATTACTGAGAACTTCTTTGAGCTCTAAGAAGCTTACTAATAACTTTGGTACAACATGCAAAAGTAAATTCTAACCAAGCCATCATCCAAACTCACCAAATCCAAATGAATGGAGCTTAGATGAAGTTTTGTTGTACATTTTACCCCAAGAGATGAGAAGGAATTTAAAAATAATAAAATTTAACTTTATAAATATCAAACTTATCTAACAATTCAGAGGAAAAATAGTGATTGGAAAGCAAATGCAAAAATCTATTAAGAGTGACTACCAAACCCTGAAATATTCCTTGTGCAAAGGACTTTTAGAAGTACTAGCAGTGTGACTGGTGTATCAAATCAGTGTGATTGTAGTATACACACATACACAAAGATTACAATTCTATATTATAATATATAATAATTATATACTGTATAATTATAATATAGTAATTGCACACAATAATTATATAATAGTTCATTATTAAATATGTTATAACTTCCTATATTGAAAGTTTGCAATTTAAAAATTCAGACAAAACTTTTAGATGAAAAATTGAAATAAGGTTTACAGAATTGTGTGTGTTAGTATTAGGACTGGAAGAGACCTGAGAAATCATAAAATGTTAAATTTTAGAAAAATAGCTTTTAATACTCGTGGCTTATATAATAGTTAGAAACTACTTGTTGAAAAATTTTAAGGAAATTAAAAATATTTTTAATTTAAATTTTTAAAAGGAAAAGAAAAGGGTGTTCATCAGTAAATGAATCGGTAAATAAAAGGTCCACTTATTTGATGAAACATTATAGAGTTGTTAAAAGCAGTGAACTAGGTCCATATGTCAATATAGATCGTAAAACAATGCTGAATAATATATACAGTTTGATGTCATGTATGTATATTAAAATATTTATGGCTTATGGGTATATTTATATAAAATTTTAAAAAGTGGGTTAGGAATATATACTCCAAACTCATGAAAATAGGTTTCTGTAGGGGATGGACAGAAGAGTAGGACTTAGATTTGTGGCTTATTGGGGACTTTGACTTTTGTTGTAATGTTATATTCCTTTAAAAGAAGAAAGACAAGCAAATATAAGATTGACACTTACCAGCTCTGGGTGGCGGAATCGTGGATGTTTGTTATATTCTTGGTACTCTATTTTTTAAATCCCATTTTTTTCCCCTCCAAAAAGGTGTTATTTTTTAGGAAAAGGTGGAACCTTGTTGATTATAAGACTAAGACACCCAAAAGGTGAAACCCTTTCATTGGGAACATGAAATGGTTTAGGTACTTTATGTTTTCTTTTTTACTAAAGTCCTATAGTTTAGGGATTTCCAAAAAGCTAAAATAAGAACAATTATTGGCAAAATTTATATAAAATATCATTAGATGTCTTTAGGTGGTGGGATTATGGTTCAAATTTTTTACTTATTAATATAATTTAAAATTGTTTACATTTTTCTTAGTAAGTATATACTACTTTTATAATAAATAAAATAATAAATACTACTTTTAGAAAAACAACAAACTGAAACAAAGAAAAGCCATCAGAATGAAAGAGCGTCATTTACTCTAGTGATCAGGAAGAGCGCATAGTTCAGGTTTTGGCTATTAAGCTGAAAGGGGAGCATCCTGACTCTTCTGGTCCTGCTATAAATCTGAGCGCCTCATCGAACTCACGTGCATTTAAGGAGCTTAGTCAACAGAGTCCCTAAAGGAACACGGGCAGTAATTTGTTGTCTGGTTCATAAGCTTTTGACTAAATCAAATGAGGCTACACTTGTGAAAGAACTTAGTACAGCTTCTTGTTGGTATGTAAGTTTCCTGGATAGGAAATTTTAGTGAAAGAATGATCTGGAATAGGTGTATAATAACATCTCATTGTGGTTTTAATGTGTGTTTCTCTAATGACCATAATGTTGAATATCTTTTAATGTGCCTATTAGCCATTCATTTTTTTTTCTTGGTATAATGTCTATTTAAATCTTTTGCCCATTTAATATTGGTTTGTTTGTCTTCTACTTCCTGTGTTTTAAGAGTTCTGTATATATTCTGGATATAAGGCCATTGTCAGATGTATGTATTGAGAATATTTTCTCCCATGATGTGATTTGCCTTTTATTATTTTTACAATACCTTTGAAAGAGCAGTTCTCAAGTTTGATGATATCCAATCGATCCGGCTTTTCTTTTATGGTTCATGCTTTTTTATATTCAATCTAAGAAATCTTTTCCTATCTCTCTGTAGTTATGATTATCTTCTGTATTTTCTTCTTGAATACTTACAGTTTTAGCTTTTTTTTTTAATTAATTTTTTTATTGGGGAACAGTATGCTTTTTCAGGACCCATCAGCTCCAAGTCAAATAGTTGTTTCAGTCTAGTTGTGGAGGGCGCACCTCAGTTGCCCATGTGGGGATCTGACCGGCAACCTTGGTGTTATGAGCACTGTGCTCTAACCAACTGAGCTAACCGGCCGCCCCAGTTTTAGGTTTTAATAACAGGTCTGTGATCGATTTCTAGTTAATATTTGGTGTAGAGGAGATAAAAGTAGAGATTCATTAAAAAAAAGATAGATGCCTCATTGCTTCAGAGTACTTGTTGAAAAGTCTATCCTTTCTTTTTGATACCTTTGTCAAAATCATTTGACCAAATATGTAGGAATTTAGTGCTGGACTGTATTCACTGATCTATACTTCTGTCTTTGTCAATACCAGTCTTAATTACTAGAGCTTTATAGTAAGTCTGGAATTTCAGTAGGTTAACTCCTTCAACTTTTTTTTCCTTTTCGAAATTGTTTTCATTCTCTTTGTATTTCCATATAAACTTTGAAATCATCTTGTCAGTTTTTATCGAAAAAGCCTGCAGGGATTTTGTTTGGATTGCATTTGAATCTTTAGATCCGTTTGAGGCAAAGGATGTGTGACCTTGGGTGAAGAGGCAATATGCTGACTATACACATTATTAAGTCCTTCATTGAAGAAGGATTTTAATGGGGCATCTCCGTGTCTACCACAGTTACTGTGGTTGATAGTGTTGTTCAGACCTTCAATTTTCTTACTGGGTTTTTTGTGTATTCTGTTAATTACTCAGAGAGGTGGTTTAAAGTCTCACATTACAACTGTGGATTTATCTTTCTTTAGTTCTGTCAGTTTTTACTTTATGTATTTTGAAGCTATGTTATTATGCTTGCATACACCTATAATGGTTATATTTTACTGATGTATTATTGACTCTTATCATTATGAAATGTCCTTTAATTCTAGAAGTAATTCTTATGTAAGCAGTTTTGTCTGGTATTAATATAGCCGCTCGAATTTTCCTATAGTTATTTTTCTCATAGCATGTCTTTTTCCATCCTTTTACTTCTTAACCTGTTTGGACCTTCGTAGTTAAAGTGGGTTTATTAGAGTTAATACTGAATTATTTTAGGGGAAAGGATAGAAACTTTGCAGCTTTTCTCATTGGGGAGCTGGGTGATGGGTACTTGAGAACTCCTGCACTATTTTTTCAACTTCTATGTGAGTCTAAAAGTATTTGAAGAGTGTTTATAATTGCTCGTTGTTGGTGCATTTTTATGGTAGCTTCTTTAAAATTTTTGTCTGATAATTCCAATATCTGTGCTAATTCTGTGTTATTATCTATCAGTTGTCCTTACTCATCCTAGTTGAGATTTTTTTCCTATTTTTTGGTATGGTGAGTATTCTTTTGGATTGTATTATGGACATTTTGAACGTTATGAGACTTTGGTTCTTACTTAAATACAGAGGGTGCCAAAAAATGTATACACATTTTAAGGAAGGAAAAAACTATTAAAATTGTAATACTCAATATATACAGATAATAAAAGATGAATACAAGTCACATTTGCCTTCTGCAATTACAAGAGGTGCTCAAAGTGGTTACCATCAGCATCCAGACACTTCTGATTACGGTGAACTACTGCTTGAGCAACACTGACCAAAATGTCCACTTATATACATTTTTTGGGCACCCCTGGTATTCTGTATTAGTAGCAGCCACTGGGGAGGGAGGAAGGGTGTTGCCTCTTTGCTGACATTCACCTGGCACAGGGCAGAAATGGTCAACAGGGCTCTGCTACCGTAGTCTTTGTGGCTTCAGCCCCTGGTGGGAGGGGGCAGGGCTGCCACCTGTGCTTTCATTAGTGCAGGGTGGGGATGGTCAACAAGGCCATCCCACAGATGACACAGCACCCAGTTTAGGAGGTTCCACCCTACAGGGCTGCTGTCTTCCCATTCCTTTGGTTAGAGATGGCAGATTTCCCTTGGGGCTTTTTAGTTGTTGATCTACATCTGTTGGTGGTCCCCAGAGATACATAGGTGGCCAAAAAATCTCAAGGGAATTTATTGCTGGGTCACAACTCAAGATCTGAGGTCTCTAGCCAGTTTGTCTTATTTTTTTCACCTTTCAGAATCTTCTGATAGTTGCTTTTTGTCTTTGGTTAAGTTTATAGTTGTAATTAGCAGAAAGAATAGAGTAGAATGCACTTACTCTGTCTTGTTTGGAACCTGACGTCTTTTACTGGCTTTTAATATATTAGTTTCTGTATTTTAAAATTTTGTTTATTTGCCCTGTTTATTTTGTTTTTCAGGCAGATGAAGATAAAACAATGTCTGCCAACCTGAAATACCTTTCCTTGGGAATTTTGGTCTTTCAGACTACCAGTTTGGTTCTAACGATGCGTTATTCTAGGACTTTAAAAGAAGAGGGACCCCGTTATCTGTCTTCTACAGCAGTGGTTGTTGCTGAACTTTTGAAGATAATGGCCTGCATCTTATTAGTCTACAAAGACAGCAGTAGGTATCTAGGTTTTGGTTATTGCCGTTTATTTTGTCATTGTAATTTATTTGTTATTTACATATGACATATAGATAAATATATATTGGTAACTACACATTTGAACACTACTGTATTATCTAATGTTCTAGTACTAAAGAACCTTTTGGTATTTTTTATTTTATTAAGACCATTTTAATCTGGTAATACAGGTATTCTAATCTATATCATGACTCATGTCTTCTAGTTAAACTGTAAATACAAAATATAGTTTCTTGCAATTATAGTAATTTGAGAATAAGAGCAAATTCTATAATTCTGTGACGGTTAGAAATTTATAGAAGTCATAATTTTTTACTAAAGTCAGGGCCTTTTATCTTATTTGCTGCATTGATTAGTCCAGCAGTGACTAATTTGATATCCTTTTAAAAAACAAAACTAGCTTTATTGAGATATAATTCAATTCACTGACTTTAGAGTATACAATTCAATGGGGCTTTTTTTTTGTATATTGCATTATTTTTAGAAGTTCTTTATACACGCATACATATCAAATTTGCAACTTTAACTATTTTAAGTGTACAGTTCAGTGGCATTAGTTATATAAACAAAGTTGTACAACCATCAGCACTATTTCTAAAACTTTTTATCACCCCAAACAGAAACTCTGTAACAATTCAGCAATGACTTCCATGCTCCTTTACCTTCATCCCTTGGAAACCTCTAATCATCTTTCTGTCTCTATGAATTGGTCTATTTTAGATACTTCATCTAAGTTAGATCATACAGTGTTTCTCCTTTTGTCTGGCTTATTTCACTTAGTATAATGTTTTCCAGGTTTATCCATGTTGTGACATGTATCAGAACCTTTTTTATAGCTTAATAATATTCCATTGTTGTCTGTGTGTGTATCTGTCTAACATTTTATCCATTCACGTATTAATGGACACGATGAACAATGAATGATGCTGCAATAGACATACAAGTCTCTGTTCAAGTCCCTGCTTCCATTTCTTCTGAGTATACACGTACAAGGTGTGATCAAACAATACTGTGAATGTTTAAATTAAAACAAAATTGGGGCCGGATGAATGGCATGCTGGTTAAGAACTGGCTTGGGATGCCAGAGGGCCCCAGTTTGAATCCCACATATGAGGGCCAGTGACACTGCCCTCTACAGCTAAGATGCTGAACAACAGCTCAACCTGGAGCTGGGCTGCCGTGAGCCGGCTGCTCCGGTGTAGGCTGCAACCCCTGCTGCAGTGGGTTGCTATGGGCTACCGTGTGTAGCCAGCAGCCAGCATGAGCGGCCAGCAGCCGCAGTGAGCGGCCATCCAGAAGCCGGCGACTGATCTGCCTGGCCCGGGAAGAGCGCAATGATGGTGCCAACTTGGGCCAGTGAAGCAACGTCCTCCACAACTAGACTGAAGAACAAAAAGACAGCAACTTGTCTGTTCCCCTTCCCCCAATTCCCCAATAAAAAGCTTTAAAAAAAAATTGATTACGGTAAAAGACACATTGTCATTAACCCCTCTCAGAATACTCTCCCTTCTTTGGAACACACTTATCTCATCTTTCTTGCCACTTTCTGAAGCAGTGTTGTACGTCCTCTTTCATGAGTGACGTTAGTTGCGTTGTCGTGGCTGCTTCAGTGTCCTGAATTGATTCAAAATATTTACCTTTCATGGTTATTTTGACTTTGGGGAAGAGCCAGAAGTCTCATGGTGCCAGGACCGGTGAATAAGATGAGGACACACCGTAATGTTTTTATTTGACAGAAATTGCTATACCAGAGGTGATATGTGACACAGAGCCTTTCCGTTGTGATCACAAAATACGGTGAATGCTGCTGCCGAGTGCCATCCAACGGAAAGGCAGGGATCTTCAATACGGGAAATGGCATGTCAAACTTTAGTAATAGTGTATGACAAGTTTCAACTTGTTCGGTGTTGTCAGTTGGGTATGAGCTAGGGTTGAGAGAAGGTGTAGTTTAAAGTGTGCTGTAGGGCTGGCCAAGTGGCTCGTTTGTTAACAGTTGGCTTCAGAGTGCAAGCTCTGAGCAGCAGGGCCACCAGTTTGGATCCCACATGAGGGCCAGTGACGCTGCGCCCTCTACAGCTGAGATGCTGAACAATAGCTCAACCTGAAGCTGGGCTGCCGTGAGTCGCTGGCGATGGCTAGGCTGTAGCAGGGCTGCCATGAGTTACTGTGAGTGGCCAGCAGCCAGCGTGAGCAGCCAACAGCCAGTGTGAGCTGCCATGAGCCGCCGTGAGTGGCAGTCCAATGGCCGGAAACCGACTGCCTCAGCCGGAGAGAGCACAATAATAATACCAACATGGGCCAGTGAAGCAACGTCCTCCACAACTAGACAGAAGAACCAAAGGACAGCAACTTGTCTGTTCCCCTCCCCCAATTCCCCAATAAAATCTTAAAAAAAAGAAGTGTGCTGAAAATTGTCCTCCATCATGACAACACTCCATGTTATACATTGCTTCTGGTATACTGAAATTTCTCTCGAAAACATTACAATATGTCTTCATCCACCTTATTCCCTGAATCTGGCACCATGTGACTTCTGGCTCTTCCCCAAAGTCAAATAGATGTAGGATATCGAGGCAGCCATGACAGCGTAACCAATGACACTCACGAAAGAGGACTTACAGAACTGCTTCAGAAAGTTGCAAGAATGATGGGATAAGTGTGTTTGAAGCGAGGGGGCGTATTTTGATGGGGGTTAATGGCAATGTGTCTTTTACTGTATTACATTTTTTTAATTTAGACATTCACCATATATATATTTTTTAAAGATTTTATTGGGGAATTGGGGGAGAGGAAGAGCATTGGGGAATCAGGCAAGGGGAACAGACAAAATGCTGCCCTTTTGTTTTTCAGTCTAGTTGTGGAGGACATTGCTTCACTGGCCCATGTTGGTATTATCATTGTGCTCTTCCCGGGTGAGGCAGTCGGTTGCCGGCCATTGGATGGCTGTTCAACGGCGGCTCATCGCAGCTCACGCTGGCTGCCAGCCACTCATGGTAGATCACGGCAGCCCACTGCAGCAGGGGCTGCAGCCTACACCATCGCCGGTGACTCATGGCAGCTGTTTTTCACCATCTTAGATGTAGAGGGCGCAGCGTCAGTGGCCCTCATGTGGGATCCAAACTGGGGCCCGCTGCTCAGAGCTGGCATCCCAAGCCAACTCTTAACCAACATGGCACTGGCTAGCCCCCCATATTTTTTTTATCACATCTCATGTACTTTGGAGTGGAAATGCTGGGTTATATGATAATTCTGTGTTTAACTTTTTGAAGACCCACCAAATTTTTTTTCACAGTAACTACACCATTTTACATTCCCATCAGCAATGTACAAGAGTTCCAGTTTCTCCACATCCTCACTAAAACTTATTTGTTTGGTTTTTTCAATTATAGCCATTCTAATGTGTGAAGTGGTATCTCATTGTAGTTTTGATTTGCATTTCCCTAATGATTAATGATATTGATTGAGCATCTTTTTATATGCTTATTGGCTATTCGTATACTGTTGGGGAAATGTCTATTCAAGTCTGTTGCCCATTTTTGAATTTACCCATTTTTGAATTGAGCTGTTTGTAAATTTGATATACTTTTTTTAATTTTTAAAGATTTTATTGGAGAATTGTGGAAGGGAAACAGTGTTGGGAAATTGGGGAAGGGGAGCAGCCAAGTTGCTGTCCTTCAATCTTAGTTGTAGAGGGTGCAGCTAGCTCAGCCTCAAGCCCAGCCGCCATGCGGCTGCCTGTTGACAGCTCACGACCACTCAGCTCAAGGTGCCGTGTTCAGTCTTAGTTGCGGGTGGTCGAACTGGCAACCTTGTTGTTAGGAGCACGAGCTCTCACCAGCTGAGCCATCCTGCCACCTGTTGGCAGCTCAGCGGCAGCTCAGCTCAGGTGCAGCTCACTGGCCCATGTGGGAATCCAATCAGTGACCCTGTTCAGAGCTCATACTCTTAACCAACTGAGCCACTCGGCCGGCCCCTGATATACTTTTGAAACTATCATGGTAGCCAGTGTGCCTGGAACATATCTGGAAGAAGAATGGAACAAAGAGAATGAATTGGTATTCAGAAAACACAATACAGGATAGCCTTGTAGGCTACAAATTTCATTGTAGAAGCAAAGATAAATAATTTAAATGTTTAAAATATGGTCAGTTTTACACACAAAAAAACCAATGTGGCAGCTGTATTGAGAGGAAAGGAGATGCAAGAATAGGTTATATGGGAAATCATGTTTGGTAGCTGTTTATACTAGTCCAGGCAAGAAATGGTGGCTTAGACTATGTTGTTAGATAAGAGAGGATATTTATGAGATGTCATTTCCAGCTACAGCTGACATGACTTGCTAGTAGATTAGGTGTGTGAAGGTGAAGGAAATGGAGGAATCTAATTTGAGGAATAATTCCTAGGTTTTTAGATTAAATTACTTGGTGAATGGGTACTGCAATGAATGATATATAGAAATAGATTTGAGGGGAAAAATAAGGCTTTTCTTTGGACCATGTTAAATTTGAGATGCCTATAAGGCAGCCAAATCAAGATGTGGAATAGCATATGTGAATATGGAGCTCAAGGATTTGTCAGCTTATAGATTGCTTTAAAGTCAAGGATTAGATAAAATAATATAGTATATGCTCAGAAGAGAGGAAGACTGACGACTGAGCTCTGTAGCATTCCAATATTTAGAGGTCAGATTGAGAAGGAGGAATCAGTGAAAGAAGACTAAAGGAGTTACCAACAGGATAGAAAAAAAAAAAGAAAATATAATAGGGAAGCTGAGAAAGTAATGTGTCTCCTGCTAGAGTCTAGATGAATGGAAGTATTCACTCATTTAGCATTGTGGAGCAAAAGATATCCTTGACATGAGTAGTTGGCATTGTAGAGAGATGTAATAAAGCAACTTTCAGTGAACCAAAGCACAGATAGAAATTTGAACCATGCACAAAAATAAATTCTCAGTGGATTAAAGATTGACGTTAAAAAACGAAACTTGAGGGTTGGCCGAGTGGCTCATTGGTTAAGAGAGCCACTTGGGAGCGTGAGCTCTGAGCAGCAGGGCTGCCGGTTTGGATCCCACATGGCTCAGTGACACTGCGCCCTCTACAACTAAGATGGTGAACAACAGCTCGACCTGGAGCTGGGCTGCCGTGAGTTGTCAACACGGCGTAGGCTGCAGAGGGGCTTCAGTGGGCTGCCATAAGCTACCGTGAGAGGCTGGCAGCCAGCGTGAGTGGCCAGGAGCCGGCGTGAGCTGTCAAGAGCTGCCATGAGCGGCTGTCCAATGGCTGGCGACCAATCTGCCTCACCCGGGAAGAGCGCAATGATAATACAAACATGGTCCAGTGAAGCGACATCCCCCACAACTAGACTGAAGAACAAAAGGACAGCAACTTGTCTTCTCCCTTCCCCCGATTCCCCAATGCTGTTCCCTCCCCCAATTTCCCAATAAAATCTCTTTAAAAAATAAAAATAAAAAATAAAACGAGGGATTCCAGACAAGATGGCAGAAACAAGGATGGATATTTTGATTGAACTTTATTAAGTATTCATGTTAAAATGTAAGAGGAAATATTAAAAGAATGGAAATAAAAAAGTAAAAAACAAAATTTTATGACTTTAGTACTGTGAATGATTTCAAACAACATACGAGAAATACAAATAAACCATGAAGGAAAACAATTGATAATTTGGGGAACATTAAAATGAAAAACATTTGTGTATCAAATCAAGTGAGAAGACAAGCCACAGATTGAGAAAAGATACTTACATCACATGTAACCACCAAAAATCAATATCCTGAGTGTACAGTGAACTACAGCTCAATAAGAAAAAGACAAGCAACTCAACAGAAAAGAGGAGAGAAGATATCAACAGGCAATTCACAGAAGAGGAAACCTGAATGACCAATAAATATATAAAACGATGCTCAACCTCATTATTAGTCAGAGAAATCAATTTAAAACCACAAGACTCGATTTCACTACCCTCAGCTTGGCAAAGATAAAAAGTCTAACAATATCAGGAATTGGCAGGAACATATTATAGAACAAGACTTTCCCTAAGCTGCTGGTAAGAAAATTATGTGATAGCTTTAATTATTTAAAAATTTAATTAAGAAAATTTTTAAGTGAGCTATTAATATTTTAGAGGTTTTTCTGCTAGAACAAAACTAGTATTTTTATTTAGTATTTTTATTTAGTTACATAATTTTTTTACTGTTTAGAGTAAGGAAAGGATGACTAGCAGGTAACACTCTTTAAAATATTTTTATGGGGCCGGCCGAGTGGCGCGTTGGTTAAGAGCTGGCTTGGGACTTCAGCTCTGAGCAGCAAGGCCCTGGTTTGGATCCCACATGAGGGCCAGTGACGCTGCACCCTCTACAGCTAAGATGGTGAACAACAGCTCAACCTGGAGCTGGGCTGTGAGTCGCTGGCGATGGCGTAGGCTGCAGTGGGGCTGGCCGGCAGCTGGCATGGGCTTTCGTGAGCCGCCGTGATCTGCCGTCCAATGACCGGCAAGCGACTGCCTCGCCCTGGAAGAGCGCAATGATAATACCAGCTTGGGCCAGTGAAGCAACATCCTTTACAACTAGACTGAAGAACAAAAGGACTGCAACTTGTCTGTTCCCCTCCCCCAATTCCCCAACGCTGTTCCCCCAATCCCCCAATAAAATCTTTAAAAAATAAATTTTTTTATTTTAAAAAGGTTTCATAATCAAACTTTTCAAGTTTTATGTTGGGAGAGAAAATCATCTTTAAAATGTCATTGTTGATAAAGTGGTAGGGTTCCCTAGAATACCTCGTTTTTTTAGGGGTTTAAGTATCTCTTTAAGTTCTTTGACATTTTTTTGTGACTGATACTGTAGGTTGACCAACTCGAAGTCCATTTCCAACCCTTCTCTCTCGT